TGGTTCTATTCAACGAAACTTTAAGCACCAAAAAAATCAACAAATTTGTCGACCTAAAGAAAATCAGTCCAGAGAGAGAGAGAGAGAGAGAGACAGACAGACAGACAGACAGACAGACAGACAGAGACAGAGACAGAGACAGAGACAGAGACAGAGACAGGGACTGAGAGAAAGAAAGAGAGAGGGAGCAGAGAAAGAACTGCCAACTCACGTTCAAGCACACCAAAGATCTCGCCGTATCCGTGATCACTAATGTACGCGCTCAGCGCGTCTCCCTGTGCTGCTTGCACCAGATGGTCCCACGTCGACTTTTCATGGTGCGGCAGCTTGCCGTGGTACTGGACACTCATACCCTGGGGTGAGGGGAGGTGAGATAAGATAAAAACAAGATAAGATAAGATGAGGTGAAGTAAGATAGATAAGATAAGATAAGATACGATAAGATGGGATATGTTAAGAGAAGGTGAGCTGAGATAAGGTGAAGTGAGGCAAGAAAAGAGAAGATAAGATAAGGAACGATACGATAAGGTGAGGTGAGGTGAGACGAGATAGATAAGATAAGATAATATGAGGTGAGGTGAGGTGAGATGGGATGAGATAAGATACGATAGATAAGATAAGATAAGACTAGATACTCGTGAGGTAAGATGAAAATTTATTGAATTTATTGTCCTGATGCTGGCACACTGGCTAGGTTTTTCTCCAGACACACACACACACACACACATACATACACACACACACACACACATACATACACACATAAATACACACACATACACACATACACACTCACACATACACACACATACACACACATACACACACGCACTCACACACTAGGGCTCCAGTGGCTAAGTAAGTGGTGAGTTTAGACTCAAGTAATGTCAAGCAAGTGTCGGTGACACGGGGATCAGATGGGTGGTCACTGGGGTGTGTGCTTGAGCAAGACACGACAACCGTAGCTCAAAATACAGGGCGCTGCACAGTGGCGACCGACAGTGGCATGGTTGTAAACTGTTCTGTATTTGTGTAATATTGTGTTTTTATGTATGTATTTATGTATGTATTTATACATGTATTTATGTAGGCCTATGTATGTACATGTATTTATAATTGTGTATTTATGTATGGATATGTATGTTTGCCATTGCAAACCAAATTGCCCTTCTGGGACAAATAAAAGTGTAATTTATTAATTAATTAATTATAACGACTCCGAAAAATCGTACGCTTTTGATAGGGCAGATAGAGCCTTTATTGACCTCTGGTCTAAGTACCTCAAAGCGGCCAAAAATGGCAGATAGAACTGTATGATTCGGAGGTAGCAATTTGAAGGCGTACCCAATTTTATCATCTGACTTGAGCTTTTCAAACTTCCCTAAAACTCCGCCCAATTGAACATTAATTTAGTTTCACAATATTTCATGCTTTTATTCGAGTGCAATTCTTTGAATAACTAGATGACGACTCCGAAAAATCGTACGATTTTGATAGGGCAGATAGAACATTAAAAGGTCCTGGAACAACATAACATATCTATCGCAGACGCTACACACCTAGCACAGGACCGAAACTTGCACATTCCCTCTTCTAATTACGGGGTGCCCACTACGGACGGGATCGGCTGATCGATTCGATCACCCGACTCGATCGCCTCAAAAACAAACATGTTTGTTTTCAGTTTAAAAATCAAACGTGTTTGTTTTCAGTTTCAGGCGATCGAGTCGGGCGATCGGCCCGATCCTGCCGTAGTGGGCACCCCGTATAAGGATACCAGAGGAAGGCAAAAGTAAAGCAAAAGTAGTGTAGATCTAGTAAAGATAGAGCATTTATTGATTTCTGACCTCGTGGTCTGAGTACCGCAAAGCGACCAGAAATGCCAGATAGAATTTTGGGATTCTGAGGTAAGGTTTTTTGTTTTGTTTTGTTTTAGTAGAGGTTTTAGGGCGCTCACAACTGCATTAGGTCATATGAGCGCCAACAGAGAGGTCTTTACAGGGAATCAGACTTACTCTGCTCACCTCTCTAGCTTCAACAGCACAAAGTCTGGTTTGACTATCAAGGCACCCCGGAAACAGCGGGTTACAAGAGTGTGACAAACATGCAAAAAAGTAGAGGAAAAACGGTGATAGTAAGGATAAGGAAAGAAAAAGCAGCAGTTCCCTGTTGCAGTTCAGGCACAGTTATGGGGGTAACATTGATGAATCAGCCCTTTTACAATTACAGTTCTACTGTGCATTAGAACACGTTAATGCCCCCCC